TCTGCTCAGCTCTGGGGAGGCACCTGGAGCACTGGGGGCAGTTCTGGGCTCCCCGGGACAAGAGGGACATTGAGCTTCTAGAGAGGGTCCAGGGTAGGGCCACGAAGATGATTAAGGTTCTGAAGCGCCTGTCGTATGAGGAAAGACTAAGCGAGCTGGGCCTGTTTAGTCTGGAGAAGAGAAGGCTGAGAGGAGATTTGATCAACATGTTCAAGTACCTGAGGGGCGACTGTAGGGAGGATGGGGCCAGGCTCATCTCTGTGGTGGCCGGTGACAGGATGAGGGGTAACGGGTGTAAGTTGAAACACAGGAAGTTCCACCTCCATGTGAGGAAGAACTTCTGTACAGTGAGGGTGCCAGAGCCCTGGAACAGGCTGCCCAGGGAGGCTGTGGAGTCTCCTTCTGTGGAGATCTTCCAAACCCGCCTGGATGCCACCCTGTGCCACGTGCTCTAGCTGACCCTGCTGGAACAGGGGGTTGGACTGGATGATCTCTATAGGCCCCTTCCCCTTAACCATTCTCTGATTCTGTGATTCAGCTTCACGATCGTTATTAAAACTACCGAATTAAACCCAAGTATGACAAGACAGTCCTGTATTAACCCAAATATGACAAGACAATTCCCCCCCTGAACAGGGATTTCCCTAACCAGGTGCCAAACGTGCCACACTTCTGCATCAGCTCCCAGGATATTATTTCCTTAACGTGACAGAAAAGGCCTCCTTGCATTGCTGCAGAACCTGTATGTTTTACATAGCAACACGATGCAGTGTTATAATGAACAGTGAGCTGAACTCATCTTCCTGGGTCATACACAGGACCTATACTCATCTGCTCTATTGCAAGACCTGCTTTAAAACATATTGAAATACCTGCAATAAAAGGAGCACTTCCCTATCAACAGATCAAGAGCCTCTTGTAAGGGGTTCAAGAATAACTATGATAAGTCTAATTGCAAGCAGATTAGGTTAAGCTGACCATATACCAGGAAAGTTTTAGCACCCAATAAAATGAAGAAAAACTCTTACTTTGCTGTAGCTTAAAATGTCACTCCTCAGAAACCTGCTTTGTACTGCACCACTTCATAGACAAGATGTCTATGAGTCTTGATACGCAGTGAACTAAAAAGACCCGCAGGAAGAGCCACAGGGCTCCGCAGCGAGGGGATGCTGATCCCGCTGCCCAGGGCCCGCCACGCTCCACAGATCTGCATCTAGCAGCAAGAGGAGGGAGGCAGCGACTAACTGCAGGCCCTAAAGCCCATCAGAACCGCTAGGAGCATCCAGCCTTCCCTTGGCTCTGAAATCCGCCTGGAAAGAGACAGGGGTGGCGAGGCCGGGCAGTCACGGCCCCTTGCCCAGGGTGGACCACAGCCCAGGCCACCGCAGCCGCAGAGACCCGTGTCCTGCACAACCCCGGGGACGGCGGCGCCCGGACAGCGTGGAGAGACGGGCCAGGGCAGGAGGCGGCTTGTGGAAACAGCATCATGCAGAGAAACAGGTTTTATATATACACAGACATGGAACATGGGTATATACACGGAAAGAGTTTGCATATACATATATATACACAGCATATATATGGAATATACATGTGTACATATGTGTGCATATATACGGAACATATGTGGATATATGTGTGTGTGTGTATACACATATATGCACAGCATATATAAAGAATATGCATATGTGTGTGTGTATATACATACATATACACAGCACATATAAAGAATATACATATGTGTGTGTATATATACATACATACACCGCATATATATGGAATATATGCATGTATATATTCCATCGCCATGAGGCACACAAGCTATCTGGGAAAACGCTGTCCCCAAAGCACCGCTCCCGTCCTGGCAAGCGGCGCCGGTCCCCGCTCCGGGTGGCTGCCCGGGTGACACGAGACCAGAACTGTCGCAAACCGGCGCCAGGCGCTGCCAGCAGAGCTGGATCTGCCCGAGGCGGCCGCGCCTCGTCCCTACGGGCGCAGAAAACCCCTGTGCCCCCGGGCCTCCCGCAGCCCCGC